CCTCTCAATGTTCCACCTGCACCCCTGGGAACACCAAGGACCTTGTGTCCTGCCTTCTCACTGACACTTTCCTAAATTATTCAGGGGTTACAGGGTTTGGCACTGAAAAGATCAAAGATCACTCACAGGTGTGTTGTCCCCAACACTGTTCTTGGCTGGGCTTTATTTCCCAGCTCCAGCTGTGTCCTCCAGCCCTGCTGCTCGTGTGATGCTCCAGCACTGGTCACTCTCAGGAGTCAGGATGAGCCCCAGCCTTGCTGGAGCCTCCCGGGGAATCACTGAAACAAAACTGTGGAAAGAATCAAACACCTGGAGTGTTTTAGGAGGGAGCTTGGGCCCTGAGGGCAGCACCTGGCTCGGTGTGGTCAGTCCCCTGCCTTAGGCAGTGTGGGAATAGCTGACAGCCTGTCTAATTTGGACAGGCCTCTCCATCCCTAATCCCCTCCCTCCTCAGGTTCCAGGTAATAACATGCTTTCAGTGAAAAAAAACAGAGTGAAAGTGAGTGAAAGGTGAAGTGTCTGTCTGCGGCAGGAAGTGAGAGATTGAAAGTGTTAAAAGAGCTTTAGGGTGGGTAATAGCAGGAGATTTGTGAAAAGGATCTGGAGGAAAAGCCCTTTTCCAAAGGAATTGTATAATCTCTGGTAGCTCAGTGTTTCACGCTCAAGGATTGCCTTCAGGATCTGCCATCAGAGGAGAGGATTTGCTGCTCTCTTCTGTAGATGAGCACTACAGGAACCCTCCCCACGCCGCTATTCTAAATCTTCTTTGAAGGGATGCTCCTCTCCTCCTAGCGAGTGGCAGGGCTGTGCCTGCTTTGTGACACACATTTGCAGAAAAAATCAGGAATAAAAAGAGGAGCAGAAAGCACCTGCCATGGAGGGATGCCCCTCGAAATCCCAGTGTCCCCAGAGCCAGGGGCTGGGGAGAGGGATCCAGAATGATGCTGGGAGAGGAAACATGCCCCACTTGTAGATCTGTGGGGTGCTCAGCTGCAGGCACAGCTCTTTTGGCAGCAGGAAGGATAGAAAGGGTTTCAGTGGAAATGATCTTTATTGGCAAGCGCAGCTTAGCTGAAATCAACCCATTTTGTGGGAACACGTAGGAAACTATTGATGGGAAGAAAAATCAGAACCATTCATTTTGACCTTCAGAGGATAATTTTTTCTTCCAAAGCATTTAATTTCAACAAATTGTTCAGTTTAGTTTTGACATTACCACTCAAATTGATGTCATTTTAATCTTCCATGCATGTGAGCTGCTGGTTCCTGGCTGTACCTTGGCAGTGCTGGGCACCCAAAGCACCTTTCCATGGCACAGAAAAAGGAATCATTCCCCATTGATGATTCTGAAAGCCTTCTCCAGCAAATTTGGGATGAACAAGAGGATTTGGAGATGAAAACACATCTGAAAGCACCACAATTTCCTGTGGAAGAGAAATTGTACTTTCCAAGCACTCTGAGTCAGCAGTGCAGAGAGAGCCTGACCCTCCCTGCTCAGCCTTTCTGATCCAGCCTCTCAGAAACAGCAATAAATATATACATTAGGCAATTTATTCCGTGTTTTGCATTTGTAGGACACTTTTGATGTGAAAAGGAGCTTAGCTTTAAATTCGTGTGACCTTGACATGCCTAAAGTTAAGCTGCTCTTTAAATCTGGGTAGAATTGGGACCTGTTAGTGGTCCACACACCCCCACTGTGTCCTGCTGATGTTCCCCTGGCAGGAGAGGGTGGTCTGGCAGCTGATTGCATTGATCTGAGGTGGCAGCAGACCTGTGCCAATGTAGAGCGGTGGTAGCTGCAGCACACAGCATTTGCAGCCTCGCTCTCCAGGGCTGGGACTTCTGCTGCTGTCTGGAAGTTGCAGCAAGGACAACAACTGTTCCCTGTTTCATCCCTGCAGTGCTTTGTGCAGATGAAAAGGTGTGTGAGGCTGCAGAGGCTGCAAAGGCGTGCTCCTTCTCACCCACACCCAGATCCAAGGCTCCTCCTGGGTGGATTTGCAGGGAGCTGGAGGGAGGGATGCTCAGGGCTCACTGCAGTGACAGGGCTCTCCTGGGCTCACCTTTAAAGCAACATCTTTATTTCAGAGACATGTACAAGGGCAAGTTCCCCGTGAGCACAGTGTGTGAGCGAGCTGGACCCAGTGAAGGAGGACTTTGTCACCTTTGGGTGATGCTGTGGATGCTCCTCCTGCACACTGAGGTGAGGCTCCAGGCCTCTGCCCACCCAGCCCTGCCACCAGCAGCTGTAGGCCTGCAGAGACAACTCCCCAGGCTCCCTTTTTAACTCACTTGCTTTCATTTATATTCAAATCAGAGGATAAATGTAGGCAATGCGTGCACTCAGCTCAGGCAAGGCTGCTGCTCCAAAGCAACCACAGAGAAGGTGTTTTATTTTTAAAACAGATAAAGCAAGAGATGAAGACAGGGAGTTCTGCACTCTAACTATCACCTTCTTGTTGCTAATGTTCGCCTGGTCATGAAAACAGAAAGATTTGTAAAAATTATTTGTTTTCCACCACACATGCTGTTTACTTGGCTCCAGCAGGGAAAATAAAGCCAAGGCTTCTGCTGGTGCTTTAAGTCAGTTCCTGTGTCTCATGACCAGGTTTGTAGAGGTGCTCCTGGGGATTTCAACTTCCAATCAGTCTTTATTTGATGATTTAAATAAATGATAAATATGCATATGGAACAATGAAAATATTAATGGAAGAAGGGCAGCCTAAAGGATATATTGATCTCCCTTGAATCAGAGCAGTGCCTGACAGGGCTCTGCTAAGGGAGTGGAGAGCACCCTGCTCAGGGGCAAGCCCTGCAAAAACCCACTGAGCCAGACTCTTAAATGAAGGTGGAAAAGTTGCCAGCACTGTGTGTGGCTCAGTCTCACAGGCTGTGTGCTCTGATAAGGCACATGGGAGCTCACTAACAACCCTCTGCGTTTAGAGCAGAATTTTGCCCTAAAAGATGATCCTGACATTGTTAAAAGTGACGGTGCCCTTTTGCAGGGTGCTTTAAGCACATGTGTGCTGACACCTCCATGTGTTGACCAGGCTGGACTCAGCCTTGTGCCTCAGTCCCCACGGCAGAGTTGTGCTGCCTTGTCTTTTCTGGGCTGTGCCCACCCCAGAGCACACAGAACTGTCAAAACCTACTTAATACACATTGACTTAATGGGAGTTGTGCAGCACAATGCTGCTGGGTGCTTGGAAGGCAAAGTCTGTGCAGAGAATTCATTACTCCTGGATTGCAATTAGTGATAATTAAAAAAAAAAGAGAGAGAGAGAGAAGGTTTTGTATTGAGAGTTATGCTGGATGTCAGAATTAACATCTCATTGAATTATCAAAGCTTTCAAGTAGTGGGTGGTGGAGAGTGGCTTGGGGCTTGCAAATAGGTCAGAGAAAGAGCTGGTTGCTAAATATCTGATAGAAACTTTCCGCTGGGGAAGAAAATCTTGCTGATTTGATGGAATAGGAACAATTCTTGGGAGATTATCTATTCCCTTAAAACTTATGGAAAAAGCAGGCATGGAGGCTGGGCTGCCTGCATGCGACCTGGGCTCCGTGGATTGCTCCCTGGGGACCCCTCCTGCTCACATATGCATTACTCCCCTTCTCATTGCAAAATGAAAACACAAAAAGAAGGGAAGCATGAACATTTTGGTGGCGTGGTGCCAGCCCAGGTCTGCTCTGTGCCTTTGGCAGCTCCAGCTGAACGCCCTTGAAAGCAGCCGCCGGTTTTTTGGGCGCTTGTGTTTTGGGTTCAGCCAGGGATGGTTTGGGTCTGGGCTGTGGAGCACTTGCAACTCTGTGTGACATCAACAGGGGGAGCGGCTGGTCCTGTGGAAGTGTCCCTGCTCCGGGCATGGGACGAGCCATCCTCCACCAGCACCCTCCAGCCCTTTCCCCCGGCATCCCCCAACCCCTTCATCCAGCATCCCCCAACCCTGTCACCTGGCATCCTCCATCCCCTTCATCCAGCATCCTCCATCCCCTTTGCCCAGTGTCTTCTGGCAGCCTTCTCCTGGCAGCTTGAGGGGCTGGCAGTGGTTTTCACCTAGGTGGGAATTCATTTTCCACCCCTGCTGCCACTAGGATGTGGCATTACCTGGAAGGCTCTGTGTTGTGTGTACCCACAAAGAGACTAAATTTTGTTGCTGTTGTTCTTTGTACTGATTCTCATAATAAGTCAGCACTGAAATCAGCCAGCTGGGCAGGTGGAGTCTCTGTTTTTGCATGTGATCCCACCTCCAAGAGGTGTCCAATCCTTTTTCATGGGTCCTGCTGGGTTAAAGATGCCCAAGAACCTCTCACACTGCCAGGATCTTCCTGTCTCCCTCCTTTGTTGGAGTGACAGCAGATGATAAAGAGATGAAGGACTGACATGCTTAATCTGCTCCTCCCAAGCAGAGGTGAGAATGTAATATTTTGGGAACCAGATGAGCAGATCTGGCAGCCTGTGCTGTGCTGGCCCTTGTGGGGAGCAGCCCTGAGCTGAGAGGTGGGCACAGGATCCATCCTTTGGCTCCTGAGGCTGTGCAACTCCTATTTCAAGCTAAGGAATTTCTTTGTTCCAGGCAACTCATCCCTTAATCTTTCCTCTGCTTGGTTTCTTCATCCTGTTCCCGTAGACAACAACCTTGTGTGAACTGCTGGAGGAGACAGTGGCTCAGCAAACCCTCCTGCCTCCCTGCCAGCTGTGTTCCCCCGATCACAGGGACCCTCTGCTCCCGTGGGGAGTGACAGGCTGGCAGCGATTATGGAAAGCAGATCTCAGAAGAGTTTGTCTCTGTGGGGGAAACGGCGCAGCAGAGCTGCTGGGGAATAATAATTGTATTATTATGCAGGAATAAAGTCCTGTTTATTTCTGAGAAGGGGATGGGTGTGGGGGAAGAGCAGTGAGCGACTGCAGAACAATTATCCCATAGCAGCTATGCTGGGCAGCGTTTCCCTTGAAGGCAACTCCTAAATATTGTGCTAGAGAAGGACCGGCAGCCTGGACCATGTGGTGGGAGAAGGTGGGGCTGTCCCATCCCAAAGGACACTCCTCAGCATCCATTGCTCCTGCGGGAACGAGAGATGATGCAAAACACTCACCTGGCAGTGCCACACACCTGCGGGCAGGGCCGGGCAGCCGAGAGCCACCAAGCTCCTGGTGCTCTGCACCTTCCCGCAGTGGGATGAGCTGGGATGTTCAGGGATGTGTAGAGATGTGTGGGGATGTGCAGGAAGGTGTAGGGATGTGTAGTGATGTGCAGGGATGTGTAGAGATGTGTGTGGATGTGCAGGGATGAGCTGGGATGTGCAAGGATGTGCAGAGATGTGTAGGGCTGTGCAGGGATGTGTAGAGATGTGTGGGGATGTGCGGGGATCTGCGGGGATGCTGCTGCTGCTGTCCTGCGGCTCTGCCCAGCCCGCCCAGCTCCTCCAGCACATCCCAGCCTTGCTTCCACGTGCCTTTGTGTTGATCAGAGCGGCGTTTTCCCCCAGCGCCGGGCTGGCAGCGCATTCCTGCCTCGCTCCACCACGCGTGAGCCGGCGATCACCCACTCGGGCTCCGTGAAGAATTAATATCCGTGTCACTGTGCTTCCTCTGCCCCGCTGCCGATCGCTCCTCAGGGACCGGGGCTCCGGCCAAGGTCCCAGCCGGGGCGGCCCGGCAGCCTGGGGGCCGCAGGTGTCATTGTCCCTGCGGAGGAGCCGCACAAAGGGAGCGGCCCGGCCGCGGGCCCGGCGCTGGGCGAGGCGGGCGGGGGTGCAGGTGGCTGCCGGGGGGATCGTGCCGCGGGGCGGGGACACCCCCGGCCTGCCGAGCCCTGCAAGGAGCGGCGCTCCCTCCTCAGAGCCGCTTTGTGTCCCCATACCGCTCACCGGCGCCTTCCTCGTTGTTTCCCAAAACTGAGGCCGGGGAGGATGGGGGAAAATTTGATTTTTTTTTTAATGAAAATTTTAAGCATAACAAAAAGTGAAAGCCTTTAAAACCCTGTTTTCTCACAAATCGAGCGCACACACCCCCCTAAGAAAGGCAGGCGAGGGCCCGCCCGCCGCCGCTGCCGGGGGCACGGCAGCTCCGGCCCGGCGCCCCTCACGCCCGCACAATGCCGCCCCCTGAGCGCCCGCGTCAATGAGCGAGTGCATGGCGGAGCCCCGCGCCGCACCATGAGGCGCCGGCCGAGCACCGCGCTCGCCCTGCTGTGCCTCGCCGCCCTCCTGGCCGCCGCCCGGAGGAGGAGGAGGAGGAGGAGGCGGTGGCGGAGGAGGAGGAAGAGGAGCAGCAGCAGCAGGAGGAGGAGGAGGCTGCGGACAGCGGCCCCGCAGGTGAGCAGCCCGCGCGGGTCCGCGGCGAGGCGGTGTCAGCGGGGCCACCGGCGGGGAGCGGGACGGGGCTGCGCCCCATCCTCCGCTGGGTGGACAAAGGGGCGGCGGCTGCCCGGGCCCCTCCGGCTGCGGCGACCCCCGTGCGGGGCGGGCGAAGGGAGCTCCGCGCTGCGGGACCTCCCGCGCATCGCCCGGCCCGGCCCGGCCTCCCCGCGGGGCCCGTGCGGGGCTGCCGAGCCGGGATGCGGTCTAGCAGAAGCGCCGTGCCTAGCCCGTGCCTAGCCCGTGCCTGTTACCGCGGCTTTTGGGGAGCACGGGGCAGGTGCTGGTCCAGGCTTCCCGGAGCGTCCTTCAGGCAGTGGTCCCTGGCGTGCGCTGTGATCCCGGTGGAGGAGATGCAGACAGGTCCTTCCCATCACCTTCCATCCAGGCGGCGTCCAGCAGGGTGGGTGCTGGCCTCGGCATCCCCCGATGGGACTTTGGAGGTCGAGTTGCTCCACAGCCATCAAGCATCCCTGGTGTCCTACCTCGACGTGCTGGCAGCAGAGAGAGAGCAGGGTTGGGGATGACTTGGGGTCACCAGAGCCTGTGATCTCCCTGGTGTCAGGAGGTGTATTTGCAGCTCAGTGGGTGCTGGGGTGCTCACATAGCATCTGATGGGTGTGCAAGGGCAGAAACGAGCCCCAGCTCCATCTGTGCTGGGAATGATGTCTCAGTGCAGCCTGTGCGAGGCCTCATCCTGCCCCTGTGGTGGTCGGGGCTTACACAGAGCTGAGGAAGGTGCTATGGCAACAGGAGTGAGTGGAATTATCAGTGTAGGGTGTGAGGAGCAGAGGGGTGAAGAGTGGGAGGGCTGTGCTCTCAGGTGAAGCTCCTTCTGGGTGTAGCACGCACTGAGCACTGGTCACTCACTGGGGGTGAAACACTGATGCTCTTCAAAGTTGAGACTTTACTTATAGACTAAATAGGCAAAACTGCTGGACTCCAAGGATGGAGCTTTGTCCACTTATTTACTAGAGAATTTGGCTTCACTCTGCAGCTCTGAAGCTATATCTTCAGACACATGCAAATACTATAGCACTGATTCTTTCCTGTTTTATATTTATTTTTTCTCTTTGCCTGGAAGATGTTTAGCTTAAGTACGTTGAGCTTCCTCTGATGTGAAAGGGATGCAGTCTGTTCTGGTAGTGTTAGCAGTCTGAACAAGGGGATTAATCAACTTTTTTTCATTTGGTTAGAAATAAAATTGACTGAAGATCTGGAGTCAATTGTTTTCCAGACTTTAATTTGCTTTTTTCTGTTGAGTTTTCTCTCTTTGCTTTTTCTGGAAGAAACAGAATGGCTTAAGATTGGGAATTGCTGATAAAGGTAGGATGAGTTGAGTGTTCTTAAAGCAAAAGCAATTGTTTCTCTTGTGCCTGATGAGATAGAATGGACTGAGCAGCTCAGTGCAGCACAGTGTGACCCTCTGAGTGCCAGCCAGGGGATCCACATACACATCCCAAGCTTCCTCCAGCACATTTCCCTCTCTGACCCCTGTGTTGTGTTTGTTTCCATTGGTACCCATTGGCTCTGGGTCTCCTACCCTGAGCTCCAATGGCTTCACCAAGAGCATCCTGCTCCTGCAGGCAGAGTGACAAGTGCATGAGGTGGCTGGTTTAGCAGTGGCTTTGGGATGCTCCCAGATGGAGGATGCTTACATAACATCCTCTGTCTTCTGCCATTGGAGCTGTCAGGGATGGAAGTCTGGGGAATTTTGTGTCTAATCCCTGTGCTCCCATGGGCTGCCCTCACCCCTGTGCTTCGTTTTTCCCTTAGGAGAAGGGAGCATTGAGGATGAGCACTCCCCATGCCACCCCTGCGTGTGCTGAGTCTGTATTCTGGAGGCCAGCAGCACCCTTTGAAGTTTTAACGTGCTAATTATTAATGGCTACAGCCACTTAATCACAAAATTGCTCTCTGGTGCCTTTCCACTGTGGTGGTGATGGCCAGGGCAGGAGCACACGGGCAGATCATGTCTTCTGCAAGAAGGAGGTTGTCAGTCCTGAGTGTGACAGGTGGAGATGAGCCCTGGCTGAGGGGGGATTTCGGGTGTGCTCCAGGGCTGGGTGGGTTTAGGGCACCTCGGACAGCATCAGGAGCAGCTGCTGGGCTTGGCAGCACCCCCTGTGTGATGGGGGAGCCTGGGCTGGTGTTGGGGGTGGATGATACAGCCGTGCTCTGTGTGGGAGCTGCTCTCTGTGGGTTTTGTGGGGTTTTCTGTGCTGCCCCATCTGCTGTGAGTTGTGCAGAGGTTTGCTCTCAAAGGCTGTTAAGCACCAAAGCCACAGCAAAGCCAGTGGACATAATGGGCTTAGCTGAAACCCTCCGTTTGCTTTAACTCAAGCATGTTTTCAACATCACTTTTCCAACTCAGTAGGTAATTAATGCATTATGTGCTCTGTTGCATTAATCAAATGGGCCTTTTCTCATGCACATTATTAGAAAGGCTTCCCTTAATGTTCGTAGCATTATCACTGATAAGAGGTTGGTGTGAGAGGCCTCAGGGCCAGTGGTGTTCAGAGCTACCAAGATTTCAATTCTGACTTTGGTGCATTTCTCATTCTGATTTAGGAAGCACTTCAGTTTTCCTCGAGCTGCCTGCTTGCTCTGTTCTTGTCCTCCTCCTTTTCCCGGTTTCATGATGTTTATTTTTCTTTCCAAGCCTGTGATCATGTTAAAATCCTGGATTTTGTTTCTAAGGGAAGTAAATTGCTAATCCTTATGTTTGTGGAGACAAGCTTAACGTGTCCCCCGCCTTATCACCAAAGCCTTCAGCACCCACCACAGAGACTCTGCCTCTTCCTTTTATCCCCAGCAGTCTCATTTTAAGCAGGAGCTTGAGCTTTGCTGTGGAATCTGGCTTGGGAATTGCTGCTGCTCGGGTGGATGCTTGTGTTGGAGCAGAGATGCAGGTGCTGTGGCCAGCATGGTCCTGGTAGGACTTTCCCTGCCTACAAAACAAAAATGCTCATTTCCACATGGTTCTTAGGGCAGTGTTGAGTAACATGGGTGTCTTTGAAGGACATTTTGTTCTGACTCTCCTCCAGCCGCATGCAGAGCAGGTGGGTGGGCTGAAAAACCCAATATCCTCTCACAGCCTTGCTGTGCTGGGTCAGCAGGAGAGCTGCACCCAAACCCGGGTATGGTGTCTTTACTTCTCTCCTCTGCAGTGTTCTGTCATGCCTCAGCTGCCTTCCTGGGTCACCAGCTCCCAGAGGTGACTTTGGGTCTGACTCCTCACCTCTGCACCACGCAGGAGGGGACAAGGAGCAATTTCTGCTGCAGCCACAGGGCCGGAAATGCAGGTGGCTTGGAGCATTAACCACGGAAGGTGTCACACAGAAATGTGTGAAAGCTGAGTCAGTGACTGATGGGTCCCCAGCCGACAGCGTGGGGCCACCTCGGGCTGGGGTGCTGCTGCTCGATGGAGGAGGTGCAGCCAGAGCCCCTCCATGGGGGTGGCTGCAGCTTTGTGTGGGATTAGCTGATGGGTTTAGCTTGTGAAGAGGAGCCTGGCAAATCCCTGGGGGCGTTGGGATGACCTGGGTGATGGCTGGGCACAGGTGAGGTGACAGGTTGGGGAGGGGACTGGTGAGTGCTGGCTTCATCCAGCTGGAGAGGTGGAGGGTTTTGCTTTTGAGCAGGGCATGTGGAGAAAGGTCTGTACATCCCTTTCTGGCAGAAGGTGTGGTGAGGACAGGTTTGGGGGGTCCCCACAGCACTTAGAGTGTTGTAGAGGAAAAACTGGTCCAGGCCATGGAGCCATCAGCAGCCAGACCCTGCCACACTGGGCCTGTGCCCCTCGAGGGGTTGGGAGCTCTCAAATCCTGCTAGGACAGAAACAGCCGAGCTGTTGAAGGTAGTTTCAGGATCTTGTGCCATCATCCCTTTTGTAGCTCTGGGTGACTCCTCCTCTCCTCTCATGCAGCCATTAGATCCTTTGGAAGAAGTCTTCCCATCTGTGTATGGGTCCCCCTGCTCTGCCTCTGACCCTGTGGGGGACAAGCAGGAGCAGCCAGGGAGGGTGAGCTGGAGCTTTCCTCCTGCTCATTACTTGGGAAGGCAGCTTAAGCCTTGCTTGTTTGAGGGCTCAGGATTGTGTTCCATGTGGTTACAGAGATAACTTGTGTTCAAGGTGCTAGCAGGATTTAAATTTATTTAAAGAAATGGAAATGAAGGCATGGATGTGAAAGCTGAGGATAAGGAGGATGGTCTTGTTCCTCAGGATCAGCACGGGAGCAGCCAGAGCAGAGAGTGCCTTTTTTTTCAATGAAATAATAAGTTTGTATCTTTGAGCTTTAAATAAAGACATGTTACCCAGAGCAGAAAATGTCACTCCCTTGCCTTCCTGCCTGCCTCCACGTTCCCATCTGAATCATTCTTGAATCAGATGCATCCAACTGTCCTGACTCAAGATTGAGATTCTGGGACTTAGCAATGCTCATGAAAATCAGGATATTTCTTGGAGGATCTGTAGAGAATTGAGGGTCTTGTTTGTTAGCTTCTCTCTGCTGGGATTTTGCTTTTTGTTTTTATTTTTAACAGTAGCTAAGATTCAGACATATCACCACTGAGGTGCCACTTGGAAAATGGCACCACCTCTGTGAGGTGATGTTATTTACCTGGCTGCTGTTGGTCATACCCAAACACCAGCCTGTGGGGAGGCAAAGGTGCTGGAGCACTGAAACAAGTGGTTTGTCTGAGGCTGTGTGGTGGCAATGTCCCAGTCCCTTTGCTCCTGGCCCTGCGAGGGTGGCTGGGACAGGTGGGACGGTACTGGAGTGTCACCAGAAAAACTCTTGTGACACAGACTAGCATTTGTCCAGGGTACAAAGGTTGTGCCTGTCCAGACAGCTGGGAAATGTGTGGGTAAGTGTGGGATGGGCTTCCTGGACAGTGGCTGGTTCTGCCCTTGGAGCATCTTCCTGGTGGTGATGCCTGCTACCCCTGGGGCACCC